GGGGGGACCAAAACACCTCAGATTTTACATGTTAACAGCTCCAAGAACACATTTTGTCTCCCTGTAGGGCCTTTGTTGATGTTCTTTCCTTCTGCCTTAAATGCCTTTCCTCTTACTTATCCTTTGACTCAGTTGAATGTTTCCTCCTCCAGGAAGCCTTCTTTGCCCAAGCAGACTGAGTTGCTCCCTCATCTGCATTCCCCTTGCATCCTCTGTTCCCCCAAATCAACACCTCTCACACTAAGTTGTCCTCATCCATTTGCCTGTCTGTCTCTCCAATGAATGGAAAGCCCCTTAAGGGGATATAATGACAGATATAATGACAAACTGTGATATCTGTGAGAAAGGAGCAGGATGAGGTGCCACATCCAGACAAAATGTTATCTGAAGCGACAGCCAAGGAAGAGTAGGAGTTATCTAGTGCAGATCATCAGGCCTCAGCTCAGCAAACAAACCATTTTAGGAATGTGATGCAGGAAGCACGAAGGGTTAAGACAGTGGGGCTGGCATTCAGCTCCCTGCATGGCTGTGGCCACACAGGTGTGTCAAGACAGAATCCGTCCATTCTGATTGGTCAAGACATGTGTACTGATTGGCTAATGCCTGTCTTGTACCGGTTGTTGCATATTTTGAATATTGCTCTTGGGATTTGGTGCTTATAAAAATGTTTTTATAAGGAAATAGGGCTGGGGAACTAAGACAGAAGTGACTGGAAGCTTTCAACAGCCATTCAATAGATATTTATTGAGCACCTACTTCACGACAGAACCTGATTTAGGCAGCACTGATGAAAGCAAACACACGTGAGAAGGGAAAGATGGGGAGGATTTTGATGGGGAGAGAACAGGGAGGAAGTATCTGTGCTCATGAGAACTGTCTAAGTTCTGCTGTGGTAACAAATAAACCCTGAAATCTCAGCAACTTAACACAATGCAAGTTTCTCTCCTACACATGAGAAGTCTGCTGTGGTGAGCAGTGTCTGCCTTCCATCTGGTGACACCAGGGTCCAAAACCCATCTGTCATGTGCTCGCCTATCTCAGCGTGTGGTCTTCCAGGCCTCCAAGACAGGAAGACAGAGGGAAAAGAGGCACAGGGCTCTGCCTCAGCCCAGAAGTGACACACTATGCTCACAGCTCATTGGCCAGGACTAGTCATGTGACTCTCCCTCCAACTGCAAGGGAGGCTGGGAAAAATAGGAGAGTACTCAGAGCAAGTAGACTGTCTGGAATGAACTTGCAACAAAGCCCAGTGACTTTTTGTTTTGGTTTTGCTCACTTTTGTGACTGGAGAATGAAGCAGGGAGGAACAGGTGGGTCTTCAAGGTTTGCTTTGAGTCTCTTCCGGTCCTGGAGTGTTAGAGCTAAAAATGCCATGAATCATTTGCCCAGGACTGAAGATGGTGAGTGTGAATGCATCCTGTAAACTTCAAGCCTTCCTCTCTCCCCACCTCCCACTGCACGTGAACCACCACACTCAAGGAAAGGAGGCGGGTCTTAGACATCCTGCTAGCCACTCCTGCCTCTATTCTAGAAGGTGACTAAAAGCTGTCCGCAGAAAAATCGAAAAGCCCATCCATCCAGCAAACAGAGCATGATCTAACTAATTTAGAGTCTAAGGCTGAGGGAATTTTGGAGTTTCATTTAAATCAGAGGTCACAAACCGGCAATGTACCTCAGCTTCCTCATTAGTAAAATGGGCATAATAATAGTAATACCTGGAAGGAATGTCATGAGGATTAAAAGAACTGATACATGTAAAGTGCTTCGGACAGTGCCTGACACATAGTGTTTTATTATTATTATTTATTATTACTGTTGCTGTTGTTGTTTGATTCACACAATGTTTCTTAAACTATTTGGATTTAAGTGTCCTCAGATGACCTCTTCAGTTTGCTCCAGTCCCCACCACTCCCTCTTGCTTTGCACCCAGCCTGCCTCCCTGACTGGCCCCAGAAGAGCCCTGCTTTGAAGGTCTTGACTGCAGTCTGGTCCTTTGCCCTCCTCATGCCTGTTAGGTAACAGGCTATTGGGTGACACAGACTGCCCATTACTGCCACAGAACCATGAGTATTACAGACCCATGCCAGACTGCTCCTCCCTTCCTACCCCCACCCCTACAAAATCAGACAAACTCAAGGCAGGGCCCCAAGCTGGTGTCTCAGACCCATGGCTCCACCTCAGCCAGCTGTGTGTCTTTGGGCAAGTCTTCCTCTTCTCCAGGCCTAGTTTCCCCAAGGGTCAAATGGGTTCCAGAACCAGAACCCGCATCTACCTCTCAAGTGTGTTCTGAGATGGTGACAGTAGAGAGGACTTTTTATCCCCCAGGGTCCCTGATTCCTTCTACAACAGAGCTAGGGGACTCTAGTCCCATCCCCTTTTAAATATCCCTCTCAATGCTGAAGAGAAAACCCACACCAACTGTGACAGAACTGTGACCACAGAGCTCTGTGATTATTCAGACACATGTTTTATTATCATTAGGATGACTATCATCGACAAGGGGAAGGTGCCAAGAGGGTTATATACAAGCCAGGACTTCCAGGGAGATGTTTAAATATTCCTACACATTTATTTCCACAGCTGTCCACAGCACAGCACTACACGGTTTCTCCAACCTACATATGCTTCCTGCAGCAGAACACAACTGTGGGTCAGAGCTCTGCCCACCCTCAAAAGGACGCCCAAGAAGCAGAGGAGATCCTGGGACCTGGGGGTTGAAATTTACACGTGGCAAATCCTGCCACAAGGAGCAAGGGATGGAAGATGGATTTGGACGTCAAAGCTTCAATTCCACTCACCCTCATTGGCTGCCCTCCCCAGAAGCACCCTGCCTTAGAAGACATAGAAGGATCATCTCAGCCAGGGATAAGGAAGGGGCGCAGGCCTGTGGGAGTCAGGGAGTGAGGGACTCTGGGATCTGCCCCCTTGCCTGTGGAGCAAAGTGGGGTAAATAGGGTTCTTAACTTTTAGGCTGGCTTTCTCGTGTCCCTAAAGGAAGAGGGCAAGGCCAGGGGCTTGAATGCATGTTTGTACAGGGGGCTCAGGTTTACTGTCAGGGATCTAAGGAGGGGGAAAAGCAGGGGTTACGATGGGGTAGGACACAGGGCTCAAGACATTCTTAGATCCCAAACTTGACTTTATAGGAAACTGGGCTCACTCCTCCAGGGGCCCCAGGGCCCAGGATGACCGCCGCCCAGGGTGCTGCCGCTTTTCCTCAGCTCCATGGCTCCTGCTTAGGTCATCAAGGAGCCCCAGCAGGAGGTCAGCTTGACCACAGGCTCCTCGGGGCCCACACAGACCTCCCAGGGCCCTCTTGCCAGGATGCTGGCGTTTCTCAGGCACCAGCAGCTCTCCCTCTCTCTCCTGATCCTCTTCTTCCCAGCTCCTTTGGGCCTTGGGGTCCACCAGCCGTCTGCCTGGGTGCTGCCTCTTGGTGACAGTGTACCCAAGCCAGGGGGAGCGCCGGCCAGGGTGCTGCCGCTTGTGCTGGGTTACAGAGACTGACCCTTTGACCCCATCCTCCCGTCGGCCAGGGTGCTGCCGTTTGTGGGGTCCCACAGCCCCCCCTTCTTCCTCCTCTTCAACTCCCTCTTCTGCCTCCTCCTCCCTTCTGCCTGGATGCTGATGCTTGGAGAGCCAGTCGGGTTGAAAGATCTGGGACTCTGGGAAAGGAAAGAAGCCAGTCAGTGAGGGATCCCATGACCTCTGCCCACTCCAGCCTGTCTCCCAGTCAACACAGGTTTCCTGCAGCACCCACCCTGAGTCACGGTCTTGCACCTACCTCTCAGGCCTCACAGACACACTCACACAGTAGGCAAAGACATCGCCACTGGGTTCTAATCCCAGCTCTGCTACATGCCATAAACAATTCTCTTAATCTCTCTGAGCCTCAGTTTTCTTCTGTGTGAAATGGTAATAACAGTACCCAATTAGGAGGTTGTTATGAGAGCAGTGTGATAGGGTGTTTGCAGTGCTTAGAACAGTGCTTGGCATGTAAGTACCTAGTAAATAGTAATTTAAACTGTCACACACGAAGAGACTCTCCCCCAGGTACACAGAATCTTCCACACTGGAGGTCTGCTCTCTGTGAAATACTCCCAGAGCTGAGATGGAAAAGGAATCTGATCCCCAGGAATGACCAACTCAAGTCCCTGCCGAGGCAGTGGCCAGTAAGAGTTTTGGAGTTTCTGAAAGGCAGGAAGCTGGATGACCAAGTCGCTTTCTCCTCTCTGCGTTCAGGTTTCCTCCAGCCCTCCCCACGGCCTCCCCTAGCCTCCAGCAGCCTCGGACACCCCCACCCACTCACCTGAGTGCTCGCCCTGGTCCCCTGGAAGCCGTTGGAAGTCTTCCCGGAGGAGCAGGTGGAGGAGGCGCTCTGTCTGGTGCAAAAAGTCGTCCAGGCCCGGGTCCTCGGTGGCCATCCCCGCCTCCTGCTGGGCCGCTTCGGGCTGAGCTTGGCCTCCGGGAACACCGGTCAGGGTCAGGGTTGCTGCCAGGGCTAGCAGCAACCAAGGACTGTGCATCGCGGCGTCTGGGGTCAAGCGGACAGAGAGAGAGCTTGAGCGCGCCGAATCCCCGCCCGCCCGCTCCATCTCCCCCTTCCCTCTCCCAGCGGGTCCCTGAGGCGCGACGCGGGAGAACCAACCACGCACCTTCAATCACCCTCCCGAGAGCAGAATCACCTGCCACCTGTGCGGGGTCGGGGACAACGAGGGGGATCTGCCCGGGCTCTGCGCCCACATCTGTCACCTCGAGGCGTGACACCCATTGGGGTGCTAGCGTGCGCGCCCGCGCCCGGGTCTGCCCGCGCGAGCTGTGGAACCCCCAGAGCCTCCGCCCTCAGCGTCCCACGGGGCTGACCCGTCCGGGCTGTGACCGCCGGGGCGCAGCGCCTGGCCCGACGCGGGACGCTGACGCCGTGTTGCCGGTGAGATCCCCAAGGTTCCCATCGCGCCATTGTAATCTCAACTCTCCAGCGCCAACGTCCTTACTGCAACGCCGAGATCCCATTTCTAGCGCTAAGGTTCAGGTTCTGCAGCTCCAATTTCACTTGCAGCGCTCGGGTTCTATTTCTAACGCTGCACTGCCGTGACTCTGCGAGCAACTGAACCTTAGCGCTAAAACCCTAGTTCCAAAGCTAAACTCCTACTCTAGCGCTGAGATGCGGACTCTAACGACAAGATTAGATTCCAAAGCAAAACTGCTATCTCCAGCGTCCGAGTCGAGCCCCCAGCGCTCAGGCCGAGGCCCCGAGTGCCGCGCTCCGTCCGCACGTCCCGGCGCGGTCCCGCAGCTGGGACCCGGGCAGCGCGGGACGGTGGCCCCCATTCGACCCCCGGCTCCCAGCACCCCGACAGGGGGCGTGAGTGCCCCGCAGGGGACGCCGCAGCGTGCCGCGCCATGCCTCCGTGGGGTCCCGGCCGCGCTCTGGAGAC